CTCCTTTATCCGACAAGAGTTTGCGCAAGCATCTCCCTCGCACTCGATGGGCCCAAAGGGGAAACACTGAAAACGTCTCACGAGATGGGGAGCGAGGCAGGGGTGCAGCCGGACACCACGTGAGGCGGTGAGAAAAATGAGAGTAAAAGGCGGAAGGTGGGAAAGGGTTAAACTGAAACTGTCCTTTTCAGTTGGTATAATTTTGTACTGAGGGTATCTTTAAAAATCAACGGCTAAACGTATTAGAGAAAGATTTCCATCTAAAAATAGTGTTGTCACACATGTCAGCAGTACACAATGAGAAGGTGAACATTAAAAACAGTGTTATTCACAAGAGCACCCAATAAGTCAAACCCCCAAGAATAAATGTAATAAAAGATTTTCCAGACAGAACAACTGTAAAGCACTACGGAGAAAGAGAAAGCCTGTGCTGCCAGAGGGGCACACTGTGTTTATGCTTTGCAGAACCCCGTATTTTAAAGACCCCATTTAAAGTGACCTGTAGATCCGTAGGTTGAATGCACTTTAGTCCAAGTCCCAGACGGCATTCCGTGGGAGCTTACAAGCTCATTCTAAGATGTATGTGCCCTTGAAGTGTTGCAGAGAAAACGTGTTACAGCTCAGTTGTGACAGCAACCAGGATCCGGGCGAGACCAAGCAGCACTCGGAGAGGCGGACGGAGAGCTCAGCTTTACTACTCCAGCGGGCCCAGAGGAGTTAACGCTCCAAGCTCTGGACCTGGTCTGTAGGGTTACACAGGCTTTCATAGGCTGCCAGTTTACACTTTGCAACATCATATGCAAATAAGGTGTAACAAAATTGACTAATTAGGAACAAGCTTTGTAGAAATGGACCAATCAGGAGTGAAGGAAATAACCAATCAGGAGTGAGCTCAGGGAACCAATAGAACTTTAGGGGTAAGTAAGCTGTTTTAGAGGCAAAAAGTGAGCTAGAGCCTCTGGGCCCGGGAACCGGACGGTGCTGGCAGGAGAGCAGTGGCCCTGCCTGGGGGTCCTGCCCGTTTTTTTATGGGGCTTCCCGCCTCAGAAAAACACAGTTGGAAGATACAAAGTCTGTGATAAAACTTCGGGAGTAAAGGCTGCCTGCCCTTGAGGAAAACATAGACAAAGAGACCAAAGGAGCAGAGTGTGACGTGGAGACACAGACCGCGCAGACACCAAGAGGTTTACCGCAAAGGCAGCTCTGGGGGAAGATGCACAAGGGTGACATTTTGAATAAACGGGGCCACAGCATTTGAATATTCCTCCCCCTCCAACAAGAAGACTCTTGACTGACAGCTGCCTCACACGACACAGAATCAGTTCCAAGTGGCTCACTGACTTCAGCGTGTAAGGAAACACTAAGGCTTCTGGATGGAAGGCGAGAGGATGTCCGCGGGACCGGGAGGTAGGCGAAGGGACTTACAGGAGCGGTGATCGGACAACACTGCCCTGAGCACTTCTGTTCATTAGAAGCGCCCACAGGCGGAGGGCTGGGCCGGGCCCTGGGGGAGGAGCCCGTGGAGCCCTGTCCAGGGCTCCCGAAAATGTCCTGGACATTAGTGGGAAGGAGTCAGCCTCCCACGAACTAAGGGCATTTGAACAGCGTTTCCCGGGAGGTTAGCGATGTCACAGGCCTCGGGGAAATGCAGAATAAAGACGTAACACGCACCCTTGCTGGGGACACAATGGCCACAGAGTGAGAGGGCTGGCGACTGGGACTGCAGAACAACCCCGGGGCCGGCGGGTGGTGGGCTCCACCCCCGGGGAGCGGTTTGGCCACATCTGCTTGGGCTGGGCACCCGTGGGGGACAGACACGCACGTGCCGGGAGGCGAGGACAGGCTTCAGAGTGGCTCCCGTGGTAACGGCACAACTGGACTCCTGCAGCTAGAACAGAGGAATGAACCCTGGCCCCCCGGCACCTCCCACCAGGGAGCCGGCAGGGCGGTGGCGGGAAAGACCCCGGGAACTCGCTGAGCCCTGGAGGCCTGGAGCAGGCAGTGTAGACCGTGGGCGCCGGGAGCAGGAGGTGTAGACCATGGATGCTGTCGGGTGCCCCTCAGGAACAGCAAACCCAGCTGCGCTTTCAGACCTGCAGATGGTGGTTGCTTTGGGGGAGGTAGGGGTGCCTGGTAGGGAGCAGGGCCTCAGGGGCTCTGGAATGTTCTGTTCTTGATCTGGGTGATTGTTACTTGGATGTTCCTGCTTTACGAAAATTCACCAACCTGCCAACCGGTAACAAAAAGACGTGTGTTCACGTTCATTTACCACGACAATACTTAGAACGGGGACAAGTGGAAAGCGGCAGAGGTGTGCCGTGCCGGGGATTTTTCTGTGATAAAACTGCACACGCAGCACCGAGCACGTCTGAAGGTCCACGTCAAGTGACATTTGGAGGAAAAAATCTAACAAAAAGTTAGTAACATAAAACAAATTTAAACATAGTCTTAAAATTTTTAATTTAACGAAAGGAAATCACTCAAGATATAATGTTAAGTAAAGCTCAGGCACAGACAGAAGTTTCAAGGGGTGAGTGTGTGCGCGTCGCCCACGGGGGACTGAGGGAGCTCTCCGTGTTCATCTCCGGCTGGTGGTTGAAAACCCTCCAATTCCCCTCACTGAGCGTGTGTTTCCTTTGTAGTGAAACGTTGTTCTGGCAGGTGTGGGCGGAGAGCCGTGGTTCGGTGTGGAAGGAGGTGGCCTCGGGCTGCTGGGGGGGAGGGACTGCAGACGCCCTGGCATGTTGTCATGGACGAACGGGACTTTCCTCAAGGTGCCCGTGACCTCTCGGCTTTGAGAGAGGCGCAGGGGTCCCGGCAGCCGTGGGGTGGTGCCTCTTGGGCTCCCCCAGGCCGGGGGAGGGGATGGGAGGGGATGGGAGGGGATGGGAGGGGTGGTGGGTTCAAACGCTGTCTCTGGCCTCTGTCTTCCTGGTTGTTTCCAAATACAATTCTAGCGAGAGCAGACGGCCCGCTGGGCCTGCCGTCCCTTCCCCTGAGCCACCCTGGAGTTTGGAAAGGGGCTGACCCTTGAGTGGTCTCAGGGACCTGTGGCCCTGGGGGCTACCAGGAGAGGGAGCCTGGAAAGGAGGGGCACGAGCAGTTAGCCAGGTAACTAAGTAAACTGCACCTCTCGTCCCACGGGAAGGAGATTAGGCTGCGCAGGAGGGGAGAGTGGGAGGCGTCCGGCTGCGGGCAAGCCGGCGACCTTGGATAGGTGCCCTGGCTGGAGGGGGGGTGGGCCCCTGGGCCCTGGGAGGGGCAGGAGGGGCCTCAGCTGGAGGGCAGCAGGGGCGGTGAGAGGTCCCAGCAGGTCAGGCAGCACCTGCAGGTCGAGGAAGGTGGTGGAGGTTCCAGCAGGAGGGTCCGGGGAGAGCAGATGCCTCCCAGAGGCTGTGGAAGCCCCCCTCCCCCTCCCTGCCCCTTATCCCATCCTCCCTCCCTTCCTCCCTTCCCTCCCCTCCTCTTTCTCCCCCTCCCTTCCCCTGCCCTCTTTCCTCCTCTCCCCTCCTCCCCCTTCCTCCCACCTTCTGCCAGCATCTCTGACTCTGCCTCTGCCTCCATCTCTCTCCCCCTCTCTCTCTGTCGCTCTCTGTCCCTGTCTTTTCCTCCTTCTCTGTCTCTGGTTCTCTCTCTGTCTCTCTCTCTCTCTCCACAGGGCCTCAACCGCCGGCCCCGCCCTCCAGTCCATGCCCGTCTCAGAAGCCAGATGTCCCTAAAAGCACACCTGATCACTCTCTTCCGGCCTCCACCCCCCCACACACCCCCATTCTGTGGGCAAAGGTCAGGGTCCCGAACTCCTTGCTCCCCGAGTGACCCGCACCCGCCTTCCCTGGCCTAGTCCTCGAATGTCAGTGCGAACCAGTCCCATGGAGTGGAGAGGGTGTAGAGGCAGGAAGACAGAGTCCATGCTCCAGGGGAGGCCACGGGGCTGGGAAGGACGGGGTCGAGGGCAGGGAGGGTTCTGCCAAAGGTCGACCCTGGAGGCTGGACAGAGGCCGCTGGGAAGGACATTCCCCAAGAAAGTCTCTGTGGTGGGGCGGGTGTGGCCCCGACCTCAGGGCAGGCGGGCTGGGGGAGCAGGGACCTCAGGGCTGGGGGTAGGGGCACGGGGACACCCTCCCACTCACTACTTCAGAAGTTGTGCCCAAACTCCCACTCAGCCTTCAGTGTCGGCTTGGATGTGACCCCTGCCGGGATGCCTGCCCCCAGCCCAGGGGCCAGAATGGGCCACCCCCTGCCCCCTGCAACTACTGCGGTCACCCTGTGGAGGCCACATCACTCTCTGGGTGCACCACTGGCTCCCTGTGTCTCCCGGCCTGACTGGTCTGCCCTGGGGGCAGGGACCCCGGTTCCCACTGCCGTCCTGGTGCCCAGCGAGGGGCTGCCTCGCTTGTTGCTCCCGCAGAAAGGACAGAAATCCCTAGGGCAGGGCTGAGAGGCAGCAGGGGGATGGTTTTGAGTCCCACGACAACCCGTGTGGACGGGGGCCCTGGAGCGGCGCTGGGTGCCTGATGCTGGTGGACCCTGCCTCTGAGGAGCTGTTTAGAGCCCAGAGCTCAGGCGGGAGGGGTCCAGCTGCTCCGAGTCAGTGTGAACAGGGCTGGGGGCTGCCCCCAGGGCCCCGGGCTCCAGCTTCTGTACCTGGACCCAGACAGGGAACAGGGTTGGGAGTGCCCGCTGGCTGGGAGAGGGCCTGCTGCCTCCTCTGAAGTGGGGGTGTGGCTGATGGGAGAGGCTCCGGGGGTCTGGGGGAGACCCCTGTCCTGCAGGACCAGGCGGGACGAGGTCCCTCCTCCCAGAGTGCGGGGGTGGGAGAGCCTCACCTGTGCTGTCAGGCTTGCTCGGGGGAGGGTCCAGGCGCCACGGCCGATAAGGCATTAACCGTCTGGCGGACTCGCCCTCCAGATCTGCTGACGCTTCCTTTCGGCCCAGGTGCTCAGGGTGAGGAGCCAAAGGTTCCCTATAAAGTGCTGGGGCTCTGGCCAGCGGCCACTCGCCCTCGCTCCGGGGCTGCACACCGCGAGGACCCACCCAGCGACCACGATGGTGAGGCTGGTGCTGCCCAACCCGGGGCTGGAGGCCCGGACCCCATCCCTGGGCCAGCTGGAGTACATTGAGGAGGAGGAGAGAAGCTCCCGGCCCAAGTGGGACAACAAGGCCCAGTACATGCTCACCTGCGTGGGCTTCTGCGTGGGCCTGGGCAACGTGTGGCGCTTCCCCTACCTGTGCCAGAGCCACGGCGGAGGTAGGCGGGGTCCGTCCGGGTGCAAACAGCAGGGACGTCCGCATCCCAGCGCCCCACCGGGGGCCGCAGGCAGGACGCTACAGCCTTCCCCTGGGTGCGCCGCCTCCACCCGTGGACTGAGCCCCACGTTTGCACGGAGGGCAGGGCTGGGGCCACAGTGTGACCACCTCCCCCGAGTCCTGGCACACCGGCTGGTTGGTAATGGGGGCACTGCTGCCCCGGCTCCTCCACGTCCAAGTGCCTGCACGGTGGGTAGGCCCCCACAATCCAGGACCCAGGAGCCCGGCCCTATTCCCAGAGAATGGGTCTGACCTGGGTGTGGGGGGTCCGAGAGGAGCCAGCTGCTCCTTGGGGGGTGCCCCCTCCCCTCCTCTGAGCATGGAAGGTGCCGGCCTGAGAGGCAGAAAGGCCAGCCCTCCATGCGTCCACCGTGCGGGCAGCGGGCCGAGTCCTCCCAGTGCGTCATCTGTGTCCCACCCCCACCGTAGGCACCTCACTCCCTGATGGACAGAGGAGGGAGCTGGGCTGGGAGCAGGTGACCCAGAGAAACGCTCAGGCCAGAGGCAGGGGGCCACCAACCCTACAACAGGCCACCCTCAGCCCCATCCTGCTGCCACCAGAGGCTTCCAAGGGAGCTCCCCAGGTCGAGGCTGCCCTCTTCCCCCAGATGCAGAGGCCCCCGGTTCTGGTCTTCTCCCTTCATCCACCCTCCTGGCGTCCATGAAGTAGAGGTCACATCGTGGTCCCCTATGGCCCCCACGCCGTCCTGGGGCAGGGGAGCTGGACCCAGGGAGAAGGTCTGGAGCAGGGGCTGGCGCTTGCTGGACAGACAGGCTCTGCAGAGCTGGCCCGTTGGATGCTCTGGGAGTGCTGCTGGCTTGCTGGGCTCTTGGACATCGTGCAGCAATGTGGGTCAGCGGGTGTGGCTTGGCTCTAACCTAAAGACCCTGCAAGCTCTCCTGGGCTTTGTGGTATGGTTCCCCAGGAAAGCAGAAGTGGAAGTGGCCACTCCTGGGTCGCTCCTGTGACCCCCTCGAATTGCCGAGGACTTGAGTGCTGGAATGTCTGGGAAGGTGTGTCTCGTGAGCTTCTGGTCCAGCTGTCCTTCCCAGGCAGACTCCACGGCCTCTGTGCCTGGGGGGCCTTGGGGAGCCTTGGAGGTCAGGAACTGTCCCTCCCAGCTGCCCCAGTGAGGCTGGTGCCCCTCCCTCTGGAACTGGGCAGTCACATCCCCCGGGGGCTGGCCTGCGGGAGGGTCCTGGCGTCACCCTGCTCCGCCTCTGGCACCTGCTCAGTCAGCACATGGACTAGATAGGCCTTCGTCCCCCGTGGGTAGAAAGGGGAGAGGCTGTCTGCTCCCCACCGCATGCGGGGCCCTCAGGCGGCTCGGGATGGACACACTTTGGGGGTGGAGGCCAGATGCTTGTCCCTGAGAGGAGAGGGGTAGGCCCCGGAGCTGGGCCCCGTGTCCAGGAACATGCTGGAAGCGGCTTTAAGTCCTTCAGTTGGGGTTGGCCAGGGCGATGACCAGGACCTACAGCTCCCAGAGAGCGTGGGCCCTTGACTGGGAAGAACTCGCCGTCGGAGGTGGGCTTTCGGGGCTGGGAGTCCCTGGGGGCAGCCTGGGAACAGCCTGCAGACGCTGTGGACAGCACGTCCCACATCACCCCGGAGACTGAGGCGGCCTGCCCGTCAGCCTAGGAGGAGGGGGCGGCGTCCAGCCCCTGATGTCCTGGTGAGCTACCGCCTCCCCCTCGTCCACCCGCCCCACCCGGAGGGCCTGTTCCCCGTCCTCTGGGCCTGCTGGCGGGGCAGGGGCTGTGTCCTATCCTTCACACCCAGGAGGCTGTCCTTGAGGACAAGGCGGCTGGCAACCTCTCAGGGAGACACTCCGACCCCGCAGAGCCACCATGGGGGCGGGGCCGTTGTGCAGCCTGCGGAGAAAGTGGCAGATCTGAGGGTCCTGAGGTCTTTCCAATTCTGACCACACGTCCTGGTTTGGTGAAAACTTAATTTGTCTTCAGTTATTGCCAGGAGTTTTGGGCAATTCACAAAGTAAATGATCATCTGCTTTATTTTCCACTTTATATTACGAAAAAAAGTAATACAGAAAGTAGAGAAAACCACAGCAAAGTCCCAGCCCACGGCCTAGTCTCACGGTCAGCAGCGTTTTGTGCTGTTGGCTGTGGGTATGGCCACGCAGCGTGTGCACGCGATCCTGGGCGACGGTGTCGCCGGGGACCCTGGTTCGGGGTCTCTCCCGTCGGGTCCCAGCCTGTCCGCGAGCAGCGGGTGCAGGGAGCACCGGGGGCTCCTCCCTGGGGGCCTGTGCCCTGGCCACCCGGCCGCCCTCGCCGCCGACCCATCGGCCTCAGCTGTGCTTCTGCTCTGGGTCTGCGTTCACCGTCAGGGTCTGTGGACGCGGAAGGAGCAGTCCCGCTGCAGGCTGACTTGTCCTCGCAGCCCCAGGATGCGGGCGATGGCAGCCGGCCCCCAGCAGCCCTGCAGGTGGGCGGGAAGGGATGGGGAAGGGCCGCAGCTGGTTCAGCTCAGATTTCAGGAGAGTCTGCTGCGCCCCCACTACCCCGACGTCTCTCTGCCTCCCTCTCCGCGGCTCCCCCCACACCCGCGTCTCAGGGTGGCTTCACAGCAGGAGTCTCCTCTGTCCTCCCGTCGCTGTGGCCCCACCCAATGTGGCCAGCAAGCTCCTTTCCCCCCAGCAGCCCTGGGGGGCACTCAGAGGGTCTGCGCGCACAGTTCTAAGTCCAGCCAACAAACAGGCAGTGCGCGCGCCGTTTGTCTGTCCTCACTCTGACCAAGAGCCCCCATCTGGAGGCCACACTCCAGTTTAGCTCTCTGGTCCCCACCCCCATCCCGCGCTCTGCAGAGCGTCTGAATTCTAGGAGGCGTGCTCACCGGTGCGCCACCAGCCTCCACGCCCCAGCTCTGTCCACGCCCACGCTCACCTCAAAGGCCACCTCTCCCTAAACCCCGGGGTGCACACTGGCTGCAGAAGGGGCTGAGCTGGGGCCCTAGGGGACAGGTCCGGGCAAGGAGGGCAGAGCAGGCCCTCGGACGTGTGAGGTGCAGGTCCCGCTTCTGGGGCGTGATCTCTAGACCCCGGACACACTGTCCACTACCTGCCGCCGGGCCTCCTCTTCACCCCCAGGCCCTCTGGTCAGCTTCTGTGACAGTAGGCAGGCCCTCAGGACCCTCAGATCTGCCACTTTCTCCGCAAGCTGCCGGCCCTTCCAGTGGTCACTCTGCCAGGTGCAGACTGGACCCCACACCCAGATCAGACCAGGCAACCAGCCTGAAAGGACGGGACCCGAGTGGCTAGTGGAAGAGTGCCAGACCTAGGGAAGGCAGAACCCGCCACCACTGCTTTGGTCCCTCCTGAAGGATGGTTCTGCCACGGTCCGGTGACTTCTCATGGACGGTGTGAATCTGGACTGTGGGGCTGGCAGGGGATGCAGGGAAGGCCCTGGCGAGGGGCGGGCCGCGGTCCTGACCTGTCCTTCAGGGAAACTCAGAGGGACCCCTGGCCCCTCCGTGGGCACCTGGGGTGGCGGGCAGTGTCCTGGGGGGAGGCTGGCCCTCAGAGGGGGCATCGGCCTCGGCTGCTCACTCCACACACAAGGCCCTGGGAACGGGAACGACCCCCAGATTTCCTCCTCAACTCAGGTCACAGTGTAAACCAAAGTCCAGACCCGGGGGCACAGCCTCAGCCTCCACTTCGCTCTCCTGCTGGAAGGCCGTGGAGGTGTACGGTCATCCTTCAACGGTAAACTAAAGTGAGACCCCCCGCCTGAGGCCACTCCGGGGACTCCCGAGGCCCCCTCCCAGCAGCCCCTCCTCCCTGATTTCTCAGAGAGGAAGCACCCGGGTTCGCCTGCTGCTCCCGCGCCTCCCTCTGGGTCTGTGTCTGTCCGCGGGGCCGCATCCGTCTCCCAGGACCTTTGGAACCAGGATCGGCGCCTGGCCCTTACATGGCTTTCCTCCTTCGCCAAGACCTGTCGCCCTCCCTCCTCCGCCCGCCCCCTCCTCCTCCACACCTTCGCCACAAGGGAGTGGCTGGTTAAAAGGGAAGATTCATATCCCCTGGGGTTTGGTGTTGCTTGAGTTTCTTGAGAGAAAAGGAGCCAAGTTTGCCCATCCCTGGAAACAAGGTGCTGAGTGCCTGCTTCCTGGAGAGCGCTGCCAGGCGGGGGGTGACAGGCTGGCGGACCCCACAACGTGGGGACTCGGGAGGGCTCTCTGGGCCCAGCCCACTTCTGGGGGGTGCAGTGGATGCATGCAGGGGCCCATCCACCCATCCTCTATCAGATCTGAGCCCCTGGTCCAGGAGGAGCTTGTGTGAGGGAAGGGTGCCAGGACCACGGGCAGCAGGGGAGGCTTCCTGGAGGAGGGGCTATCTGTGTGGGGTTTTCAAGGATGAGTAGGAGTTTTCTGATGGAGGTGAAGGGGCAGGGAGATGGGGTAAAATTGGCATCATGAGTGGAGGGGACGGGTGAAGGACATTTGAGAACTGTAGTCTCATTTATTCTTGGCAGTTTTGCCCAAAAGATTTTCAAATCAAGCTTCTGAGAAAACATTAGAGAGGCAAATCTTTTCTTATTTTAATTTTACCTTCACTGACCCTGGGATTGCCGCAATCCTGCCCTTAACCCTGCAGCCCCCAGACCCAGGGGGCTCCCCTCCCCGCCTCCCACAGGGGATCCAGCCGTAGACCTTCCTTTCCTGGTGTCTGTCACCACTCTCTGCTCTTTCTTGATGGCACATGAAGTTGACCTCCCTGCTGGGTCACGCTGCACCTCTGGCTTTCTGACCCTCGGCCCCCGTGCAGCCCCAGCACCAGAAGAAGCCTGTCCCCGGAGCCCCAGGTGGAGAGAGGCTTGCAGCCAGGAGATCGGGGAAGGCCTCGGGGGCCTGGCCCCCCCAGTGTAAGGGCCTCACAGACACAGACAGAGGAGCAGGAAGAGAGAGAAAAGGCGAGAGGTGAACCCAGGAGCCCAGGGGCGGGGCAGAGACTGAGAGACAGAAAGGGCTGAGGTCCCTCCTGCTCCTCCCTCGCCCCCCCGGGTCCCCCCACTCAGCACGTGCACACACACACACGGGCACACTCACACAGGTGGTCACACACATGGGCATACCCACACACTCATGCTTACACACTTATTCACACACTTACACGTGGATGCACACTCAAAAATACACTCCCTCAGACCCACATGCGTAGGTACACGCATGCACGTGCACACACAGGCACACATGCACACACGCAACGCCACGCCAGTGAGGACTCTAGCTCGGGTCTGACACCCACGCTGACCCGGAGGCCGGTGCGGGGAGGAGGGGGTGTGGGAGAGGGTGGGACAGAAGTGGAGGAGCTGGGAGGTCTGGGGGAGCACAGAGAACGAGTGTGTTGGGAAAAGGAGGATGGGGCTGCACAAATGTGCAAGGTGTTGGGGTGTCCCAGCCGGGGGTGTCCCGGGTGACCCCCTCACTCGGCAGGCCCACAGCCAGACTCCAGGAGGCACTGGGAGGTGGCCCCAGAGCAGCATCCCAGGTCGGGGATCGTGGCTCCCGGTGTCCAGGGCCCCCAGCCTCGTGGCCCTGCCTACACTGTGAGTCCTGCTGCGACAGTGTTTCCAGCTCTTATCGCCTGTTCTCTGTTGCCGAGCTTCATCCTGACCGCGCCAGTGACCTTTGGTAACCGTGATTGTGCTATCTCTGCGGGATTGCTGTGCGCAGTCCCCTGCCCTGTGCACCTGGAGAGACTCCCAGATTTCCCCAGAGCCCGGGTCGGGCGGAAGGGGCAGCTTGGAGGCCCGACTGGGCTCAGGACACAGCCGGTGGGGAGCTGAGGACGAAGCAGCAGGCAGGGGCGTGGAAGGGAGGAGACGCCACTGCCGGGTGGGACCACGCGCACTGTGAAGGCAGGCGTCCCAGGTCCCCGCCCTTCACGGACGCTCAGAGACGTCCACAGAGCTCCTGGCCAGCATGGCCGGGCCCTGGAGCCTGCGTCCAGCTCCTCCGTGTCCCCAGAGCAGGGCGCATGCTTGGGCTGAGATCCCCCTCTGCATGATGTCCGGTTGCCTCTGAACCGGGGCTCCTCGGGGCCCCTCCTGTCTGCCCCTCCTGGATTTTGAGTGATGGAGCCTCGAGGGTCCACGCCTCCTGGAGGGGCTCGCCCTGGCCACGGCCCCGCCCCAGGCTCCGCCCCCACGCAGACACCATGCCCAACCCTCCTGGGGCTGCAGGCCGGGCACCGTCCTGCGGGGACGGCAGACCAACTGGACACACTTGGGAGGTGACACAAGGTGCCCCCCCCAACGTGCCGGTGGCCATCTCGGGTTTATTGACGCGGTATCCTTTGTATTTGGGACAAAGTTTGTCCCCAGAGGTGGCCTTCAGCTGTCCCTGACCACGCTGTCGCCCCCAATGCAGGGGCGTTTATGATCCCGTTCCTCATCCTGCTGGTCTTGGAGGGGATCCCCCTGCTCTACCTGGAGTTCGCCATCGGGCAGAGGCTGCGGAAGGGCAGCGTGGGCGTCTGGAGCGCCATCCACCCCGCCCTGAAGGGTGTAGGTGCGTGTTCCCTGGGCTTTGGGCGCCCTTCCCTTTACACTTCCCGGGGCTTGACGGCCCCCAACTTGAGGCCTTTACAAACCCTTCCTTAGAATGTCACTGGGGTGTAGTCTGCAGGGTCCTGGCCACCAGGGACCAGCACAGACCATCCAAGTTCCTGGCACCCGGAAGGGGTAGACACGTGGGGAGAGCGGAGCCCCACACGCCCTACCCAGAGTAGGGCCCAGAGGGGACGCTGACCTCTGGGGCTGCCCCCTGCTGCCTGGGACTCCTCTGTTCACTGACACACAGTGTGTGAGGAGGTGACCCCAGCAGTGCCCCCACCCCTGCACTGCCCCCACTCACCCCAGCAACGCCCCCCACCGCCCCCGCTCCTGGTGAACGCCCCCACCCCCGCAGGCATCGCGTCCATGTTCGTGTCCTTCATGGTCAGCCTCTACTACAACACCATCATCGCCTGGGTCATGTGGTACTTCTTCAACTCCTTCCAGGACCCCCTGCCTTGGAGCCAGTGCCCGCTCAACGCCAACCAGACGGGTGAGCCCTTCTCACGTGGGACCTGCACACTTGCACACGCACCCATCCCACTCGGGCACGTGCGTGGTGAGCACGCCGGGCCTGCACTCCGACCTCCTCCCTCCTGCTCCCACCCCCCGCGCCCCCCGCCCCGAGCTGGCGTGGCCCCACGCCTACACACGGGGGCGCACTTGAGCAGGCATCCCTGGCGAAGGCCCCCGTGGGTCGCGCTCCCCGTGGCTCATGCTGACCGTGCATGCCCGTCCCAGGCTACGTGGAGGAGTGTGCCCGCAGCTCCCCTGTGGACTACTTCTGGTACCGGGAGACCCTCAACATCTCCACGTCCATCAACGCCTCAGGCTCCGTGCAGTGGTGGATCCTGCTCTCGCTGACCTGTGCCTGGAGCGTGCTCTACGTGTGCGTCATCCGGGGCATCGAGACCACGGGCAAGGTGCGGGCGGGCGCTCGCGGGGGCGGGGCTCCTGAGCTGCTGCTGTCCGGCTCCGAGGGTCACAGCCGGCTCGGCTGGTTGCCTGGGCAGGCGCCCGAGGTTCAGTGCTGGTCCAGACGGCTCTCAGCTGAGCACGGGTGTGCTCATCTGATCGGCAGGAGCCAGACAGCGACCATAGTGGGAAGCAGAGGGAGGCTGGGGCCTGAGCGCTCGGAGGAGGGCGGGGCGGGTCCTGTGTGGCCCGGCCCGGCCCCTCAGCCCACACCTGCCCTCCCCAGGCCGTGTACATCACCTCGACGCTGCCCTACATCGTCCTGACCATCTTCCTCATCCGGGGCCTGACGCTCAAGGGTGCCACCAGCGGCATCGTCTTCCTCTTCACGCCCAACGTGAGCCTCCCGCTGCCTGCCTGCTCTGCCCCGCAGCCCCGGCCGGTCCCGGGTCCTGGGGTGCGAGTGTGCTGGGTGGAGGGTCGCAGCTACCGCTTTGGGGCCCCTTGCCCTCTGACCTCCACCCAGCCAGGCACCCTGCCTCCGGCTCACGGTGCTCCGGTGGGCTGGTCCTCGTGGCGCGCGCTGAGGGTGTCCATTGGCTGCAGGTCACGGAGCTGGCCAACCCGGTCACCTGGCTGGATGCGGGCGCGCAGGTCTTCTACTCCTTCTCGCTGGCCTTCGGGGGCCTCATCTCCTTCTCCAGCTACAACTCCGTCCAGTGAGTGTGCGGGGCCGCCGGGCCCCACCAGGCACTTCGGTCCCCCCCCAGACCCAGTGGGGATCGGCCGTGAGGGTGGAAGGAAGGGGACAGTGCGTGGGTCCCGGGAACACACGCGCCCGGAGGTGCTGCTGCAGATCCTCTGGATGCGGGGTGTGGGGCTGGAAAGAGGCTTGCACACTGTCAGGGGGCGTGTTCACAAGCTGGCGCTGAGAGCGAGGCCTGCTGACCGTCTGGCCTCCCCTCTGTGCCTCAGCCCTGGGGACAGCGAGCCCAGGCGCTCTCCCCTCCCCTGCTTGCCCCTCAGCACCCAGGACCCTAGATGCGGGCCCCCTGCAGTCCACCCCGGCTGACACCCACACTGACGGGCTGCAGCCCCCAGGGCCTCCAGAGGAGCACAGCAGAGCCAGTTCCTCTCACAGACTCAGAGTCCCTGCTGCGTCTCCCCATCAAAAGTGCCCTGCGTCCTGGGCCCTGCGTCCGGCAGAGGCAAACCCGCAGGCCGAGGCCTGCCAGGCTGCAGGTGGTGAGACACGGGAAAGGAGGCACAGACAGGACGGGGGTCCTGGCGAGGGGGGCCGGGCCGGGCCGGCTGAGGGTCAGGGGCTGGGGCTCCAGCGCCACACGAGCAGAGACTCAGACAAGGAAGGGTGAGTGCGGCTGCCCGGCCGCGAGGAGGGTGGGGGTGGGGGCCGCGGGCGCCGTGCGGTCCAGCAGACTTAAGGGTACGCGGTGACAGCCCCTCTACTTGGATGCTCCCATGCCGCACAAGCCACCCCCTCCAGGCGCACAGTCCCGAGGGCTTAGTGTATTCAGAACTGCGCGATGATCTCCACCTTTGAAAGAAGCCCATGGCCTGCCCTCCGCGGCCCCAGCAGCACTCGAAGGCTTCCCCTGGGTGGGTCGGTCTCTGGGCTTTTCACAGTCTGTCCCCTCCGGGTCGGTCCTCTGTCTGGCTCCTCCCAGGAGCGTGAGGTCCTCGAGGCTCGTCGTGCTGCCCCGTGTCGCTTTCCTCCCTTTCGCGGCCGAGTCGTACGCCCGTGTGGACGGGCCACTCTGGGCTAGTTTACCGTCGCCCTGCCGCTGGACCTCTGGGCTGTGCCCACCCCGCTGCTGTGAACGAGTGTGCGCGAGCTCACGGGGCCTGCTTTCTCCCCGCAGGCACCCCCAGGGGTGGGGCTGCGGGGCGGTGTGGTGGCCCCGGGTCTCACGCGAGAGGAGCTGTGCTCCACGCGGCCGCCACGGGTCACAGTCCTCCGGCCGCGCGAGGGGCCCCGATCCCCCACACCTGTTGCCCTTTGATGTCCTGGTTCTGGCTGTCGCGGTGGGTGTGGGGTGGTGTCTCTCTGGGGTTTGATTTGTGTTTCCCTGAGGGTGAAGGGACTGGCTTTTGACGGAAGCATCTGGAAGGAAGGTGTCCGAGGGAGGAGGGCGGGGGCTCAGGGACTGTGCCGAGCTGAGGACGGGTTCAGGTGTCCAGGTGGAGGTGGGGAGGCCCCAGCAGGGAGGGCCTGGGGCGGGCAGGAGGGAGGACGGAGGGCGGAGGCGGGGAGGCCAGGCGGAGGTGGGGGCCCCGGCCCAGGCTGTCTCTTCGAGGCCTTTGTGGCTGGTGAGCTGCGAGGTCAAGGCCTGGGCCGTCCTTTCCACGTGGGTTTGACAACTCACTGGCCTGAGTCCAGAGCATACACTGGCTGAGCAGGGACTTGCACACAGGGGTCCCCAGCTCCAGCTCTGGGGTCCCCAGGGATTCCAGGGGGGCTGTGGGGCCACCAGGTCACGGCAGGGCTTGGGGACGGCCTCCGTCACCTTGCACTCGGCCAGCTGTGGAAGAACAGGCGGGCTGTGCCCTCCGCCAGAGCCGGCCTGAGACGGGGCTCTGACCGTCCTGCCCGTGCTGTCACGGGCTGGGAGGGTGGGCGTGGGGCCCCGGGCCTGTGGTGACCGGACACTGCCCTCAGCCACTGCCCTCGTCCGCAGCAACAACTGCGAGATGGACTCACTGATCGTGTCCGTGATCAACGGCTTCACGTCTGTGTACGCGGCCACCGTGGTCTACTCCATCATCGGCTTCCGCGCCACCGAGCGCTTCGATGACTGCTTCAGCACGTGAGTGGCCTGTCCATGCTCCAGTGGCCATGTGCCTCGCCTCCGAGGAGGCTGCCAGGCCGGTCCCCGCCCAGGCCGGCGTCAGCCTGGCTGTCTTTCCAGGAACATCCTGACCCTCATCAATGGCTTCGATCTGCCGGAGGGCAACGTGACACAGGAGAACTTTGCAGAGATGCAGCAGTGGTGCAACGCCTCCGACCCCGCCGCCTACGCAGAGCTCAAGTTCCACACCTGCGACATGAAGTCCTTCCTCTCCGAGGTGGGCCCTGGGCCGCAGGGCAAGGTGGCAGCCAGCCCTGGGCAGACCAGTTCCCGGGGGCCCGACCCCCAAC